TAATAATAATAATGTAACAATAATAAATACAGTTGCTGCTCATCGGCAGCACTTTCCTTACACTGTCTGAATGTGTCAGATTTGACTTTTTGTTTCTCCACTTTTTTGTGTCATACCAATACAAAGAAATAAGCATGAGAATGGCCATAACTGTATATTCCGAATGTCTGTACATGGGGACAGGACCACAATGCAGGGAAGAAATCAGCCTCCTGACCACAGAAATGCTTGTAAACAAAGTGGAGAGTGCCTAAGCTTCAGTTTATACAATTCACACTCAATAACTATTGTTTCATTTTGCTGACCTGACAGATCAAATTTAGGTAAAATCTAGCTTGTGCGTCACCGTGCGCAATAAGTTAAGAATTTACTAGAATAAATCGCATCCGTGCTATTATTTTCAAGATAATTTATTTTTTACTTTAGACATTTTGTAATAGCTCTCCTTTAAGGTTTGCTACAGTTTAATTTCTTTTTAATCATAAATCTCTCCATAGCTTGCTACTAATCCACTGTCAAAGTGGTTATTGAATTTGTACTTTGTGAAATGAATGAGAACATCTGACTTTAGAGGAAAGTAGATTGGATACTTATTGGCAGAGGATCCTTTCTTCATATCACAAGGATTGTCAGGCAGTGACAGACACTGGAAGATGAACGGGGAAGAGAACAGGACATATTTCAAGAGTGCTGTGTGCTAGGAATAAGCAAATAATCACAAGCAATAGAAAACAGCCAGAGGTTATATGTAAAAAACATTTTTACTGAGGAGAAAAAAGAATCCTCTTCAAATTTTAGAATTTAAAAACATTTAAAGGATAAGTTCACCTTTAAAAAAAAATTATAAATGCAAATCTTTTTTGCAGGAAAGAAACTGTATATTTATTATTTTTTATATTAGGATCCTGTAAAGCATTGCACCCACAATCAGCAGATCGCAGGTGCAATCTCAGGCTCCTGCAGACTGCCAGTGGTGTAGCTGCCTGCCCGTACTTTGTATGGGCAGGCAGTTACTGAGTGACAGTACTCAATGAACTACCTAGAGCGCTCATCAGCACCTGATAGTTCTTTGAGAACTTCAAGCCATCAGCCACAATGGCTGACAGTAGTTGTTGTTCTTCCATTCACAGAACTCAGTGAACCAATGACACGGTGGTAGGTGGAGCCCCACCACGTAGTTTTTTTTAAACTGTGACAGTGGGGGCAGGGAGAAGACCCCTGGTCCTCTGTCACAATGGGGATTCAGGGGGTGCAGGAGGTACTCAGCTAGTAACAAGTTACACCCTAAATGTGGGTGTAACATGTACTAAAGGTGAGCTTATCCTTTCATTTTTTTGGTTCTGTATATAATTGAATACAGTATTTTTTAGAGGTTTGGCATGTTATAGAGGCAATAAAGGAAATCTCATTGGATAGTTTGATGACAGTCGATCAAATCAGGCCCTAGTAACAAAGGAAAACTTAGGCTGGCCATACACTAAACAATTTTCTTACAATTTCTTCCCAATTTCCTTTAGATTTACCTTCAACTATGTAGTAGCAAGGGCCTGCCTAATTGGATATAATAGAAAGTGTTGTTTAGGCTTGACCTCATATTATATGGTGTTTGGTAAGTCTAAAGCAAAATTCTCAAGAAAATTGTATAATGTATGGCCAGCCTAAGTCATTATACATTAAAATTGTATAATGTATGGCCAGCCTAAGTCAGAGGGAGCCAGGAAAGGTATATAAAAAAAGAAAGAACTAAACTTTATATCACTGCCAGCTTGACTCTCATGACTGCAAACAGTCCAGAGAGGGCTGCTTTGGAATTGTGGCTTTCCCACAATAAAATGCTTGAAGGGATAAGGCTGGCCATACATTATACAATTTTCTTGAGAATTTTGCTTTAGATTTACCAAAAACCATATAACATGAGGTCAAACCTAAACAACACTTTCAATTGTATCCAATTAGGCAGGCCCTTGCACTACATAGTTGAAGGTAAATCTACAGGAAATTGGGCAGAAATTTGTATAATGTATGGCCAGCCTTACTCTTACCTGCATGCACTTTTAACTATTTTCCCTCTTGCTAGCATATACTGTATCTGAGCAAGTTTGTCTCTCTCATTAATAGAGATCTCATGCTGTGCAGGCAATATTTGAGTAAAGTCTATAAAATACTTCCCTGCACTTTTCCATGCATGGACTTGCCGTTCAGTTTTCTTTTCTTTCTGGTTGATGTGTGCTGGTGTGAGTGTTGTATGGTTGGATGCAGGGGCGGACTGACAATTCATAGGGCCCCTGGCAATAGGGGATCATGGGACCCCTGTGTCCTTGCCCAAACTCAAAATAGCCTATGAAAAAGGTACCAGGGGCATCTCATGGGGCCCCCTACTGACCCTGGGCCCTCGGGCAGTGCCTGAGTTTCCAAATGGTCAGTCCGCCCCTGGTTGGATGACAATGTTGTCTTATTTTAGTTATTTACTGAGATATTTTTGTAGGGAATTCAAAGTCTATTTGCGATATTGAAAAAAAATATAGTTTGAATTTTGTATATAGTATTCCCTGTTGCCATTCACTTCATTGTTTTTAATATAGCTTTATGTGGTTTGAACTTTGAGTATGCTGTATTCGTATAACTGCTAATCATCCTGTACATTTATAATTATTATTATTTTTGCAGGGCCAGGAAAGTGTTTTTATTGATTAAGGTAGTAACAAATACCTACTGTTAGACCAGTCTAATCTTTAAATGAGTTTGTTGTTGACTGGTAAGTAGGAATGGGGTTCAAGTTCACAGTAACGCAGGAATTGCTGCAAATTCTGTCTGTTTGCTGAGAAAGCAAACTAAATAGCCTTTTTGTTCACCCACTGAAGGGAACCTCTGTTTGCTGCACGAAGCAATCATCTATTTAGTGGCGGTATCACTACAACTCCTAAGTGTGTCAGCTTCCTTTTCAGGGCCATGCATCTTCCTACCCATTGATTGCTAGGTTGGCTGTCTGCATTCTTGCAACCAGCTGCGGAGGCTCACTGCATGCAAGCTAGCAACCAATGGTATCACTGGTTGCAAGCATACTGGCAGACGCACAATCATTGGTTGCTGTGGTGAAAAAACATATGGGATTTCTCCTCAAACTTCATACCAAACCTTTACCCCATGCAAAAAAAAGAAAAAGAATAGGTCCCCCACAAATTTATACTAGACCCTTTGGCTATGATATGGATTTCGAGAAGGTTCTCTCACGTGAAAAAAAAAAAAAAAAAAAGCATGGTGTTTTCCCTAACATCAAAAACAGACCCTTATTTGAGCAATTAGACTGATTGGCCAGGATTGGGGGGGGGGGGGGTGATAGCAAGTGTGTGGCTCCTCCTCTTGAACCATAACAAGCCAAGTGCCCTCAACATGTGGAGGGTATCTTTCCACAAAATAGTGAAATATTAACAACTTCCCATGTGCCCACTGTTTATAAATGACCGGATGGGCCAAGCGCCGCCGGGGTGCACATCAGTGAGATTATCTGCTGGTCACACTGGATCACTGATCCGAGTATCGAGCGGCAGTGTTCTGCCTTGGTACCATGTGACTGCTGTGACCAATTACAGTGATCATATGTCCATTAGTAAAGATGGCTGCCATTCATGCAACTATTCAGAAATATTGTGAGCTCTTTGATTGGATACAGTAATCACATGATACAGGGAAAAAACACCGCCTCCTTATATTAGGTGATAACTGTAGTCAATCACAGCTTATCACAGTGTCCTCAATGGTTGCAGTAATGAAGCAAAGTACTGTTAGAAATGATTGCTTATACAGCCATCATGGCTTTATAAACAATCATAATGCAAAAAAATAAATAACAATTACTTCCCTAGAGTAGTGCACTGTTACTATGGTAACACTGCACTGCTCTGGTGACAGGATCTAATCTAAACTTTTTTTTTTTACACAATGGTGACATCATGCCATTGTGGCATGTACAATGGCTGGCTGCTCTGATGCCAATGTACGTTAGTGCTACCAGCCATTATCTCTGATCACCGCCATAGCAGTATAGTGTCACTAGACCAGTGCTGCCAGTTAGTGTCCCTAATCACTGCCACACCAGCCCTTGTCCCCAATCACTGTCACCTACTCACAGTGTCCCTATTCTCTCACACACCAGTTATATTGTCTCTGATCACTGCCACATCAGTTATGTTGTCCCTGATCACCACACCAGTGACTGTATATCATCCCTGATCACTGCCACACCAGTTACAGTGTCCCTGACCACTGCCACACCAGTCCCTAGTCTCCCTGACCACCCCCACAGCAGTCATTTTGTCCCTAATCACCGCCACACCTATCATATTTTCCCTAATCACCGCTCTACCAGTTATAGTGTTCCTGATCACCAACACACTAGTTATATTCTCCCTAGTCACTCCCAAACCAGTTACAGTGTCCCAATTATCTCTACACCAGTCATATTGTCCCTGATCACACCACGCCAGTTAGAGTGTCCCTGGTCACCACCAGGGGCTTATTTGCCTCAAGGCAAGCACAGCATTTGCCTTGGGTGGCATTCTTCAGGAATGCGGCACCGCCCCCTGGAAGAAGGGACACTGGTTCTCCTGGGCACCAGGGCTGGATCGTGAGCCTCCTCTTTGGGGGTGGAAGTTTGCAGTGGTGTCCGGGGGGGAGGAGTCACAGGTAAAGGTGACTGGTGGGCAGCTGTCTGGCTGAGGCCATTAAGGGTATAAAGAGAAAGTGAGCACTCTTAAAATCAGCAGCTATAACACCAAAGGTAACAAATAAAAACCTTCAGAGAATCATAACAAGTAAAAAGGTGCAGCGCTAAAAACATATATAAAATTACTAGTGACTATAAATATATTAATTTGTCAAATTATAAGGTCTCAGTCTGTGCAGATCTGGGTAAGAGATAACAATAGAATCCAAGTAATGGTGCTCCAAAAAAATGTGGTAGAATTACGCACTCAGTGGCCAATCAGTGATCACGTGATCACATGATCAGGACCTCACACAGAGGTCCCGTACAACGATCGGTGTTCCACTGTGTCCGGAGGCACCTGATCGCAGTGCTGCGTGCTCCCAGGGAGCACGCAAAAGCAGGGGGCGGGTAAGCCATTTATAAACGGCCACCTGCCCCTGCACTGCTCCCGTCCAGCCGTTTATATACATGGGCCAGATGGGAAATGGTTAATATACTCATTAATGCTAGCTTTGTACTGTTATTCAACATGTCAAAAGCCTTTTTAAGCAAATTTGAACATATTTGTTTTACAAACTCAAATGTAAAAGTATGGATCACACCCAGTGATAGTTGTTTGGGAACTGATATTAGGGGGGCTCGTGGAAAGCCATGACTTTCAGTAGAAGTTAGTGTCAGAGCTGTTTGAGAAATTTACTGGCTTATCTTTTGTATTGAATGCAATAAAAATTATTAAAGAGCATATTAAAAAAGTATATGTATACATGAATAATTTGGCTTTAATCCTTCAAAGTTTATCGCAGGGTGGAAGGCCTCTGTCACAGAGTTTATAATATGTCAAATAATAGTTTTCTAAATGTTAGGGATCCTACCGGGAAAATGAAGGCCTGCAATTCAAGAAAAAAACAATATGGCTTGGAATGTTATTATGTTCTTCTTACAATGCACTTAGCTGGTGCATTCCTCACATTTGATTTTTTTTTAAAGTCAATCCCAAGCAGGTATGTTGGAGAAATTGAATTGAGCCCCCTGGGAGTTTCAAGCAGCTGGGCTTTAACCTAGCCCTACAATAAGTAACCATTGGTCACAAACACAGAGCAGGAACTGATTTTTTTTTAGCTAGCGTTATTGCCTGTAAAGAATGAGAAAAATGAATGAGTAGAAAATAAAAAAAAAATAATCTTCACGCTGGCAATGTAAAATTTAGTTGATATTGTTTTGTTGACCTTTTCTTTCATAAACCAAATGTTGTATACAATCCAGCCTGAAATACAAAGAAATGTTCTTTCTCTTTCATTTCGCCAAAAGGCATAAATCCTATGAATGGTATTTCAATATTGCAATGTATGTGCTGAAGTTCCTGGGAAACTTCAGTAGAAAATATTGTATATTGTATAAGGTTTTATAGCGATCTCTCTTGCGGTTCATTGCAAATTGTTTATGAGAGCTGGATTATTCTGATAGCAAACGGCCTTCATTTTTAGCTGCTACAATGGTGAATGAGTAATGTCAATCTTGACAATAGCCTAGGACTGTTGTTAGAGAACATTTATCAGCAGACTTGATTTACTGCAGGATATGTGCATGAATTACTTGCTAATTACACATGAGCAATCAAAGCACAAAATTTACTACGTCTGCATGACTGCACTTGCACAAGCTTCAGTATGTACTTTATAGAAATAAATATATATGTATTGGTACCCCCAAGAAGGGGTCGCTGGTTAATGGTGATGATAATGATGGTTCTTTCCTAATAGTGCAGAGGCACAATTACCAGTCCAGGCACATTAACACAATCTAGGGGATGTCTTTTTATGATTTATTGCTGATAAACCTGACCAAAAGGAGGAGGTTCAAGGTGGTATGAGATACTCCAGGAACACTGTAACAGGAGGATACACTTCACTAGGCTAGGCTTCTCTGAACAGTTTATATGCCAGGGACAAAAGGGAATGGCCGGAACTGAGACCCTATCAGAGCTGCCCCAGTAAGAGCTATCACTGGCAATTATCACCCAAAAGCAGCACACAGTCACCAGGACCTTGAGTTCAAGTCAGTACTCAAAATGTCAGAGCTGAACACTTCCCAGTTTCCACTAGACATGTCTATGTCCCAGAAAAACTGCACAATTCCTAGCTTTCCAGGCTCTGTTTGGCTGCAGGATAGCTACTCACTTCCAGCTTCCACCAGATGCTCTTTAGTCAGGGAGAGGATAATACAATGTCACAGGACAGCGATACACTTTCCAGCTTCCACCATGTACTCCTCTGTGAGCTCTCCAGACCAGATCCTTCAGCGAAGTCCCTTAGCTGGCTTCAAAGATGCTTGAAAAGAGGCCCCCTAGCTCCGCTACAGCTGGGACATTGATGAATATCAGCAAAACTCCAGTAGAATTGCCATGAGGCTGTGGAAATTCTCCAGCAGGACAAAAGCATAGCTGCTCCAGACTGTTTATATTTTCCCCAGCCACCTACTTGACACAACTCTCCCAGGATTGGCTGAAGCACAATAAATATTCAAACTGCCCATTTGACCATTCCAGCCCTACGTTCTGGAAAATTCCAGAAGGCAGGGGGAAGCAGTGAAACCTTCAACCTGTGAGATCTAGAACAGCCCAAAAAAATCAATAGCTGCTCCAATGAGTACAGAGGAGCCAAAAAAAAAAAAATTTTTCCTGACATACCGTCAGCCTATCTAGGAGGGTACTACATCTACAGTATATATTGTACAGGACACCAAGGATGGGTCCTGGACAGACACTATGTTTTACCCATATTTGGGTTGTGGACCCTTTAAGGGGGATTATTTGTGTTCATTTGGTGTGCTCAGGGCTTCTCACCCATGCAGAGTCAGGAGTTCCTGGACAGTCCAATCAGAAAGGATTTACAGTCCCCTTTGAATTAATCATGTCGTATTTGGAACCCGGACTTTGGAGGTTTGTAGAGATATTTGGGTAGGAAAGAACCTCCACCCCTGATTATGGAACTTTGGTTCCAATAGGCCTACCTCTAGAAAGCAGCCCTTAAAGAAAGGAAGCTCCTAGAGCAAGGCTGGATTGTAAGGATTTTGGAGAGGAGACAACTGTCTAAAGTGCTGCATATTTGCTAGAAGCTGCCAAAAAAGGCTCAGACTGGACTTTTATTCCTGTAGGTAAAATCCTGGTGTGGCTGAAACACTTATATTTTTATTTGTTCAGAAGATAAGCAGACTTTTGTTTTCTTGTTCTTCTGAAGTTTATGTTTGCTACTGAAAGCATTGTTTTTGTCTTTTTTGAAGAAAATAAAGAATTTTACGTTTATGAAAAATGGCCTTGCATGTGATCCTGAAGCACTATCACAGTAGCTAATACCCCTGAACTTTACAATATATATATCTATACAAATAGATATATTTACAGAATTTACCGAGTTGGGTAAAGGAATGCACGCCAGCTAAGCCATCACATACCTCTGATGTTTTCGGTTTAACGCTGTTAGCATTTTTATATTCACATATCATGTAGGAATAAACCATAGTAAGTGAACACAGATATATTTATCAGACTGTAAAAAACATTAGAGAACTAGGTGTTCCACATGGGTAGTTGTATTGGGCATGCGTATGCACAAAGGTTCAAGAACTATCCAGGATCCGAGATTCCATGCGCTGCTGTCTGAAACACAGATTCCAGCCACAAATACCATACATATGCTAACGTCTTCATACAACAGCATAACATATGGGTTTTCTTTGACATGCTGTTTATCTTGGCTCATGCATGATTTATAGCATAGTGAGTCAGTTTAGTTATTCCTTTATTTTTTATTTCAGTTTATTTTTCAAAAAAAGTTTGCAAAAGCATTCTTTGGTGTACCTTACAGGAATAGGGGACACAAAGGCAACATTATTTGACGCCTTCCTACCAAATAGGTGCATTGTCACTTTAAAGTTTTCTTCATACTAATGTAGATTAATTCAATTAGTCCAAAAATATGAAGAAAATTAAGAATAAAAACAAACAAATATTAATAAAAAGTCCATATATGTGATATAGAGTGCAAAAAGTCCCACAACATTATTTGAATATAAATGTACACCGTACTGCATTATGTATCAGTATATGATCCACTAGATAGGTTTAGAGATCACAATTGATGTGCATGCACATCAGCAATCCAAGCATACCCAAGTGATTTATCCCTGCTTTATTTCATGTTCTTTATGTCCCATTTAGGACATAAAGAACTTTATGCAGTAATGCTGAGGATGTGCATTGGTGTGATTACAGTTCCACAACACATTTTACTGATGGAAGTGTGTTTCCACATACCGAAAGCGCTACTTGCACCTTTTTTTGGTGTGTTGTGTTCAGAGGAATGGGTTGCCTCATAGCAATGCACATTATCACGCAGGCGCTATAGCAGCGCAATAGTGTGAATGGGACCTAAATGACAAGAAAAATATAAATAAAGGCATGTAAAATCAAAACAGATAGATGAATCATTTTCAGTACATCTCCAGTGACTTAAATGCTGGTTATAATTCAGCTGTCATGTGGGTGGACTTAATTAGTGTGCGACTGGCAGTTACCATCAGATTCAAGTTGGAATTTAAAGTGTGTATATATATTTATATATATATATATATATATATATATATATACAGGAGGAAATACCTGCAAATCACCGATGGCAACTAAAAACATTGAAAAAAAAAAGGCGGGACTTGAAGGAGACAGCAAAATAAAAAAACATGACAAAAGAGAAGACAATTAAGCAGGAGGATCAGGCATGAAAAGCGCACACTGCATTACAGATAGAAAATAGAACATCACATGTTTAAAGTATAACCAAAGGCAAAAATAGTTTTTTTTTAGTTTTGGATAGGATGGAGAGAGATTTGAACACCTGTCAGGTTTTTATTGCTGTGTGTACCCCCATTAGGGAGATTCACCCTCTATATTTGTCCTGTTTATCATTATCATCGAGAGTCAAAGTGAAGAAAATCAAAAATTTTGGGTTGTCAGCAGAACAGCAGTGAAAGGAAAGTTTTCCACTCAGGATGCCCTCCCTTAGTCTATTCAGAATGAAAAAGAAAAAGGTTTTGCCTTTAGTTCTACTTTAAGTACAAAAGGACAACAGATTTTGAGCTTTTATTTTGTAGTCTAAAATACGATTTCTGAAAACACTGATTTTCACAACTTACAGTATACTATGTAGTATGTACCCGAAGTGTACATACTTATGGAGTGTATTATAAAATGTAAATATTGCATGTGCATCAATTTCTTCACTCCTCAGTCTGGATTCCAAACACTTCTACATAAACCATTCTGCAGTGTAATAGATGAAAATTGCAGTTTCCTCTATGAGCTGAGCTTATATTCTACCTTGGAGACCAGGCACTATGTTCTTGGGCACTGGTCTCCTCCTTGCACCATGAGTTCTCTTGCCTCTGAAGCCTATGAGAGAGGACCTGGCCACTGAAAATGTCTCCTCCACCAATTGGAGGGAACCA